TCTCTATTTGCAACTTTTTGAGAAAGGACCATACTACCTTCCACAGTGGTTGCATCATTTTACACTCCCACCAACAGTGAACGAAGGTTCCAGTATTTCTGTCTCATGGTCTGTACTTTCTGACTACCATTCCTTTCTCATTGTTTCCAATTTTTGCATTCTAGTCTCCAATAATTGTTAATGCATCTTGATTGCATGTTTGATCTATTTTTTACTACAAAAGCTGTTAGAAATCCTCAGTTTCCTCCTGTTTGGCTTTAGTTGTTGCTGCATTATGTTTTTAAATAATAGACATGTTAATAAGTCTTCCTTGTGTGTATATAGATAGTATTCTATTGCTCACAATTGAACTTCAACATAGACTTTGAAATTATCATTTTTATTATGAATAACACATCGATCTTTCTCAGTTTTTCATTTCTAGCATAGAATAGTCTGATTCATCATGGCCTGTGCCAGTCCATTTCAGTAATGTCAATCTTCATGCATTATATTTCATCTTTGACAACTTGCAGTTTTCATACATTAATAGTTTGTACATTTCATGTTCTGGTTATTAATGATTGTTTGCAACTGTTTCTCTTCATATTTGAGTGACTTCCCATCTGAGCTCTACCTCAGATGTTACAACTGTCTGCCTTTCTCTGTAATTCATAGGGTTTTCAAAGTTTTGTTGTTTCAGAAGTGATGGCCTATCTATCTTCTTACTTTGTCTTAATTTGGGAGCTGTGCTACAGCATGTCTGCCATAAATGATCCTTCTAGCATTCAACACACCTGTGGCATAATTTCCAACATCACAGAAACCTACACATTACACAACTACAGCAAACTAACCGACAAGTACTGTATTAATAAACAAGCTAGTATATAAAAAACCATCTATAAAAGTAATTAGCATCATACAAATCAATCCCTGATAATAATAAACTAAGAGATGTTGTGGCTCATACAGCAAACCATAAAGATAATCAGGCTTACAAATCATGGCATTGGACCCTTTGTCTAGCCCCAGCTAATGAACTTGATGGAGCAGTAGGATTAAAGTTATGCTTCTTGTTTCAAAGTGTGGTCAAGTTGGCTGCAACTCATAGTGACCACATATAAGTGTCACAGAATAAATTGTTTCCTAGTCTTGGGCCATTTCAGGCTTTTCCTTTGGCTGTTGTGTCAATCAGCTCATTAATCAGCTCTTTAAGAGTTGCCTTCATTTTCACTGCCTAGCATGATGCCTTTTTGTGAAGATTGTGCTTTCTTAATTGTGTATTTGAAGTAACTGAGAAGAAGTCTTGCTCATCTCTCTTGCAAGGAGAATTCTGGTTGCATTTCTTCTAAAAGTAACTTTTTGGTTCTTCTGGTAGTCAAAAAGTGTTTTCAGTATTTTTCACCATCATCACAGTTCAAATAGATCCATTCTTCTCTCTTCCTTTTTCATTATCCTTCTTTCACATGCATGCATTTGGGTCATGCAGCATGCAAAACAATGTTAAGATAAAAAAATGAGAAAGAAAAAAGGAATTAAAACCCCAAATAGGGAGCTGTGGTGGTTTGGGGTTTGTTTGGGGTTTTTTTTTCCCCTTAAAAAAAATACACATTGGTTTGCATACAAAATTTGTATTGTGTTTTACACTTTCCTTCATTTGCAGTATATTTCATATAGTCATTCCATATATTTTATAAAATAATCCTTACTGAATTTTGTCAGCTGCATGATTTCTGATATTTATGAAGAAACAAACTACCATAGGTAGCTATTACAGTCAGTTTTATTTTTTCTGTTGATATACATTATTGTTATCAGATCATTTGCAACTCATATGAATGTCCTTTGTATCATAGAATGAAATGCTATCTTGTCCTATTTGTGTCTGCCATTTTGAAATGGTAATAAAGATAAATATAGTTTATTAAAAATAAATATAGTTTTGATAGTATTTTAAATTTTTTTAGCTTGATTTTTAGAGTTTTCCTTAATTATTGCATCTTCATTGCAAATGTTACAACTCCTCTTGCAACCGTTAATCTTGTTTCACATTTATCTTTATTTTCTACTTTCCTCTCGTTGAATAGATTCTCATTATCTTTATGTTTAGACCAGATATATTTATGTTTGTCGTTTGTAAGATACAAAATGCGAGTTACTATAAATTGAGAATGTGAAAGTGTTTTTCACATGAAGGAGGGTTATTTGGTTCTTTGTAAAGCATAGCTTATTAGGAAGCATAGTGCTGCAGTAACAGCACATGGGCTGATGTCAACTCCTAGCTCCACTTATGAGCAGATGATTTTAAGTAACATATTTATCTTTTCTGATCCTCAATTTCTCTCTCTCTCTTTTTTTTTTTAATCTGAATCACAGTTTTTGCATGAATTGCTGGCCACAGCATCTACACCACACTCATTGCTGTCAAGTCAGAACAACTCATAGCTGACCCTCCCTTGCACATCCAGGGCTGTAAATTATATGGGAAAAGATTGTCCGTCTTTCTCCCAGGCAGCCACTAGTGGATTCTAGTTACTTTAGAATTGTGTTCTTTGGGTTAATAGCGCAGCTTCCTGTGTGCCACCAGAGCTCCCCACACACAACAAGTTGTAGTCCTAGTCTCCTTTTCATCTATTATTGTCTCTTTCCCTCTTAGCAGTGAGTGACCATGGAATGAAATCAAAATACTTACCATATTTAAATAGATATTTTCAGCCTTTAAACCATTTTCCAGTGTCAATAAGAAATCTTTAAGCATGAGAGCAACAGTCTGTCTAGTCATTGATTTTTGTGTGGTGAGACATACAGCATAGGCTGCTTCTGTCAGGTATAAAAATACACCATCTCAAATGAATGGATTAAGACATTTTGGTATATTAACACAATGGAATACTCAGAACCAAGAACATAGGAGAGGCTAGACACCCATATACTGAGTGGATTAACTCAGTGTCATAAGGACAGACTGCATAAGACCATCATTTTAAAAACTGGAAGATAATTAGTAAGATGTATATTAAATTCAAAAAGGGGAAGGGGGAGGGCTGAGGGTCAGAAGAGGGAGAAGTGATGCGGTTGCAGAATTGGTGGGCAGAGGGAGGGGTGATGAAATTAGGAAGAATCCAGTGAAGACCTGGAAAAACGAGGTGATAGTAGGCATAGATCAGTGGTGATTTGTTTTTATAAAGCACGATGTATGGGGATGATGTATGAAACACAATGTAGTGGACGAATGTGTGAAACAGTGTATATGAATGAAAAACAGTTTAGAAATTTTATATGCAAACCAGCATAAAATAAAAATATTATTTACCTTAAGTAAATGGCCTAGTGGCAGGAAGCTGTGTTGCAATGCCAAAGGCACACAGTTTGAATGCACCAGCTGTTCCATAGGAGGAGAGGCAATCTCTCATGTCATTAACTGCCTCTGAAAACCCGCTGAAGAGTCGGTTCCAACTCAGCAGTACACAGCAACAATTAACAAGTAAATGACAGTGAATTAATTTTATTTTGTTCTTCAAGGATGTAGGGAACTCTGGTGGCCGAGTCCTTAGGGTGTTTTGATGCTAAACCAAAGGGGCCACCTCTCTCTCAGTTCAAATTAGCTGGCAGCTCGTAGGAAAAAGATGAGCTGTCTCCTCCTAGGTGATTTGCAACCTCTGAAAATCCACTGGAGAATCACCTATGAATCTGTTCCAGCTTGACAGTGATGAGTGACTGAGATTCAAAAACATGAATGGCTGAGAAACAAAAATAAGTGATAGATTTTTAATCAGGCTTGAAGTTTGAAAATTATTATCAAAATAATTTGCTGAAAACCTTTACCAGGAATTTTAACAATAGAAATATTTTCATATGTTAGTAATACAATTTGTTTCCTCTAACAGGAGAGCCTGACAAGGAGCTGAATCCTAAGAAGAAGATTTGGGAACAAATCCAGCCTGATCTTTACACTAATGCTGAGTGTGTGGCTACATATAAAGGAGTCCCCTTTGAGGTGAAAGGAAAGGGAGTGTGTCGGGCTGCAACTATGAGCAACAGTGGAATAAAATAAGATGGCTTCGCTGCTAAAATTCACTGGAAAAAAATTAAATGACATTAAAATGGAATATATTTGTCACATGTACCTCAAAATATGACTGGCTCATTTCTGTGTTACTGCTCTTCTAGATTTTATTAAATATCCTTTACTTGACCTGTATTATTTTAAATTGAGAAACACGACATTTTTATGCAATGTCGTTCATAATACTGGTAAAAAGTAGCCTACATTTTATATTCATTCATTTGGGGGAGATGTTGGTTACCTAGTTCTTTAGACTTTATATAGTTAGATCACTTGAACTAGATTAAAATTTCATTCCTTACTTGTGGGCATATGTGCATAAAATGTGAGTTTATATTCCTATATTACAGGTGTCCTCTCCAAAAATTCTAGTTGGAATATTTGGCCCACTTTTAAACTTGTCATATTTTAATATTATTATAAAAATCAAGTATATATTTGAGAAAGCTTTAAGCATCATCAAAACTAGGGAAGATCATTATTTGCTGTTGCTGCTAAACTGTCATAGCCTTGATTTAGAGTACTTACAGTAACTTTTTATGAAACAGAAAATGTTAAGCATTTTTTGTTGGTTATAAAAATAGTTGATGAAATTTTGACTGAAGAATAGAGACATTCTCACACATTATTCATAAAAGTTATTTTTATTCTAATTTTCTTATAAAGATTTTGAATACTTATTAAAAGACTGCAGAAATACTGGTGGCACACTAGCTGCTTGTCTACTAAACAAAAGGCTGGCAATTTAACTGATGAGCCATTCCATTGGAGAACGATTTAGCAGTCTGCATCCATAGAGATTTACAGCCTTGGGGGCAGCTTTGCTCTGCCCTGGAGGCTAGGCTACTGAGTCACAACTCCACTTCATGGCAGTGAGTTTAAATAGATCATTTATAGCTTACTACAGAATAGAGCAAGGTTCAGATGTGTCGTTCATGAAAGGATAACTGAATCGAAGTTGACTCATGGCACCTAGCAACAACTTTCAAAGGGCATTTGAGGGTGATAGTTTACATCTGTATTCCCAATATCTTCTGTATTGTCAATAGGAGCAAAGATATTACAGCTAAGAATTTTAACCTGTATGTTAAGATGTCAAACACTCACTTTCATACATCTTAAGTATTGTAGTAAAAATGAAAATAAGTCTAGAAAGTATGAGCATCAGTGATGAGACATGGTCTCTCCATGGAGGCAGGGACATAGATGTTTTGTTTTCTTTTTGTTTTCTACAGCAAAAGTCATTCTACCACTTGTAGCTTCAAAGAGCTTTCAGTCAGAAAGGAAAGAAAAAAAATCTCACTAAATGAAACCTATAAATAATTCATGCAGATTTATAGAAGGTATAATCAGACAGTAACATAGAACTTTTTTCCTCAGAACAACATAATTAAAAAGGAAGTTCTGGTGGCCTAATGGTAAGGAGCTGTGTTATAGTCCCAAAGGCACATGCTTCAGATCCACTCGCTGCCCCATGGGAGAAAGGTGGACAGTCTTCTATATGATCAAACTGCCTCTGAAAACGCACTGGAAGGTCAGCTATGATTTCCACTTGATGATGAACAACCACAACAGCAGTATAATTAATATCTGTTGATAACTAGATTCCAATTGAATTTTAAAAGTTAATTTTACACAAACATGTAAACTATTGGGAATACAGATTTTTAGTCCAGATCCTTGCTTCACCCTGTATACAACTCAAGATGACTTAAGAACTTACATGTGCAAACTAAAGCCATGTTTTTGGTTTTTTTAGGAAAAAATGCAAGGCCTACCTTTTAACAGCGAGTTCTTCCTTTTTTATTCTCTAATTCCAGCTCTCTGCACATTCCATTATAATACTTTGTCCTTTCAAGCTGTCCTTTGAAATCTTCTGTTCTTTCATTTCGACATTTTCCTTTTGTTTAGTTTTCTCAACACTCCAGTACTTTAGTCTCTTCTGACATCCGCTTTGGATTTTTCTTTCTCCTCTGTTTTTTGTAATGAATTTTTACTTTCTTCTCTGGTCGTCTATCAGTGCTGTTAATTTCCTCAAACGTATTCTTAAAATGAAATTCAGGTGGCATTGAGTCAAGATATATCTTGGTTCCTGATGACTTACTTTCATTTTCTTTGGCCTCAATTTGAACTTGCATATGAGTTATTGATCTGAATCACAATTTGCCCCTGGCCTAGTTTTGACTGCAGAAATCTCCAGTGATTTCTCCCACAAATGTAGTCAGACTCCTATGCAGCCCATCAGATAAGATCCATGTGTATATCGTTATTTGTGTCTTTTAAAAAAGGTATTTGCAATGAATAAATCATTGTAAATACAGAATTCAGTAATCATATTTAGAGCCTCATTTCTGTCACCAAACCCATATTTTCCAGCTTCTATTCCTTCTTCATTGTTTCCTACTTTTGCATTGTATTCATCAATTATCATTAATGCATATTGATTGCATGTTCAGTCAACATTTCTCAAGCTGAAAAAAAAAAACAGAGTTAAGCTTTGTGTTACAATATTGAAAGATGCTATGGGCAATATGTTGAATGACCCAGAAAGTATCAAAAGAAGATGCAGAGAATACACAGAATCACTGTAACAGAAAGAATTGATTGACACTGAAAAATTTTGGGAAGTACCATATGAACAGGAGCCAATGGTAATGAAAAAGAAAGTAGAAGCTGTGTTGAATGCACTGGCAAAAAATAAGGCTCCAGGACTCAATGTGATACCAATTGATTTGTTTCAATTAACAGATTAGCCTTGAGTGTGCTGCCTAATCTATGCCAGGAAACTTAAAAGACAGCTGTCCAAAACAATTATGAGATATCATCTCACCCTTAAGAATAGCAAAATGGAACAGAATAGCAAGCAACAAATGCTGTCGAGGTTGTTGAGAAACGAACCCTTATTCACTTTTGGTGGAAGTGTAAAGTGGTGCAACCACTATGGAAAGTGGTGTGGCACTTTCTCAAAAAGTTGCAAATAGAGATAATATTTGACCCAGCAATTCCACTAGTGGGAATAGACCCTAAAGAGACCATGACCAACATCCAAGCAGATATATGCACACCCATGTTTATGGTGGCTTCGTTCACAATATCAAGGAGTTGGAAACAACCTAAGCGCCCATCAGCAATGAACGGATAGAGAAGCTGTGGTAT